TATGGAGTATATGCATTTCACAAATTCTGAAGCTTTACTATAATACTTCTTTGACAAACAGGTTTTGTTAACATAAGCTATATTCCTTTTCACTAGGGTGATTCTGGAGGCCCACTGGTTTGTCCTGCTAAAGACTCAAGCTTCTACACTCTTAATGGAGTAATCAGCTGGGGCCTTGGTTGTGGAAGAAAAGGCTACCCAGGAGTCTATACAAATGTTGCTGCTTTTGCAGATTGGATCAGTCAATACATATATGGAAAAAACGGTATGTTCATTTTAACAACAGCTCTTCAATTCTGATCTGCATTTTCTTCATATGCGTGCCTGCACAAAACTGTTACAGATGGACTGCTGCCCTTTGCATATATCAGAGGGGGTAGAAACAATCTCAGTGTAATTCTGCTCAGTCAATCAAGTAATACTGCTCCAGTCCTTTAAAGTTCAATGTGGAGAAGCCAGCAAGGGAATTACAAACACAATTGCCAATAAATTATTCCAATCAAATTGTTGTAAGAGATGACAGGGCTATTTTATGTTGTCTACTCCTGCCCTACCCAAAATTCCCTCATATCTGATTTAGGAAAGCATTTTTTCAGAACCAGGACAGCAAGTTTATAATCTTCAGTCCCTGGGAACAAAGTTACTCCCACCTATGACATGACATTCAAGAACAGGAATTTCCAAACCCCAAGGGAAATGTATTGTATTGTCATAGCTCTCACAACAAAGGGATGGGGGAGGTCCATGTGGGGAAGGGTTGCTTCATGTTAGTTAACTGAAGAGAAGGATAATTCATGCTTTTAAAAAGCCCAAAGCCTTTCCAGCTGTATTTGCTTTCAAGTTGTTAACTTTGCAAGGATTCTTTTGTAATTTACCTCTGACCTGTGTTGACCAATCTGATTTAATGATTTCTACATTTCTCTCCACGTGGGATCCGGTATATTGGACTGTGCGTGAGATTACATGGAAGCAAAATGCAAAATCTTTTTAAGGCTCTTTTGTATGTTTGTGCTGAGATCCTTAAATTACAAGAAGTACTCAGGATTTTGAGAAATCTTTTCTTTACCAACTCCTGCAATTTTATTTTCAGATTGAGGTTTTTTTTTTGAGTCAGAGTTCATTTCTTCCAGTTGGTCTGAAAAGTATAGTTACATAGGTTTTTCACCCTCATACTTAACGAATGTAGAAAATAAATGTATGTACGAGGGATTCTAGTTGAGATGCTTGCCATATATTTCCAAATGCTCTATGGCAGTGGTCCCCAATCTTTTTGGCGTCCATAGACCGGCAGTGGTAGTGGGGTGGGGGGTGGAAGTGCAATTTTCATTTAAGAGCCGAGGTGGCGCAGTGGTTAAGTGCAGCACTGCAGGCTACTTCAGCTGACTGCAGTTCTGCAGTTCAAATCTCAACTAGAATC